ATGTATGCAAATTGTGTCTTCAATAATACTTATAATTTGTTATATGTTTTAAAATTTGAGAGAATATATGAGTTGAATAGGAATCGTAATATTATTTCAATATTGAATGCAATATATGTTGGATTCAGAGTTAGCTCTTATCGATTATAACTAAATTATTCAACTGTTGTATAGTTTACTCAAAAGCAATATATTATCCACTTTTAAATCAAAACGACTGTTACTATAAAACAGGTAATACAGTATATAATAGGTTAGACTGACAGTCAGTCTCCGTACTGGCGCTCCTCCGCACGTAATCTTAAACTCTAGACTACTTTACTCTCGACTACTGTTTATTACATCGACTCTAAAAATCTATAACACATTCTCTGAACGAATGATCACTTATTGACTCAAATCTTGAATAGAGGGACAGAAAGAGCAAAGATTGCAGCGATTGTTGTGAAGATAACCCATAGTATTGGCACTCATATGAATTGCCGTACATTTGTCTCATATCTGACAATATTTTTGATTTTGTTGATCACATCAATCACTCAAATACGCGACACAACACTATTAAAAGCGAGACAACAATGCATTAGAAATGGTAAACAATGGCTATTAATAGAAGAATGAATTCTTGAATGTATTCTTGAATGTGTAGTCTTTTTTGATAAACAGACTCTATATTAATAAAAAGCGATTGTCTTTTGTGTTGGTCTCCAGTTATGGATATAATACACAAATCACTAATCACTTGAAACTATTGGTAGTCTTATATAAGACACAAATACGACTACTATTTCGTACAGAATAAGTGTTAGTATAGTGTATAGGAATACTCGAAGGAATGCATAAACTTCGAGGCTTTCATCACACCTCCACTCCAATAAGTATTGACTTATTATATTAAATACTGTATTACTGGAAGAGTTATGTATAATGTATTACAACCATATCTACTATAAAAATATTGGACAAACTAATGCCAACTAAATTAAATTGATTGCAATCCCCAGCGAATCGATGCTGTCTTTTACCCAGAATTGCTGTTTACTAATGCATGCAATGACGACAACGCCAGCGCTTTCTAATGTCTGTGTTATCTTATCTATCAATTGAAAACTAATTGATAAACAAATGCCGGGTTTTCCTAATTACAGACTCCGAGAAATTAATAAATTATTTATGTCTCGCTTTTCATGTTTGCCAGTATTGGGCAAAACATAAGATGAGTTTCAAACAGACAACTTGTGGCGCTTCGCTCTCTCACTCCACTCTCTAATTGCTTTATTAGAAATACATTTTTGATTAATTAGATCACGGAATCGATTAATCATAATATTATTTAATAGAATTATAAGAATTAACAGTAAACCAGAATTTCTATTATATTATAGAATTGTGCAAAAAGTGAACAATTTTTAATTTATTTCTAAAATTAATTATCAAAATTTTAGTCATTGTTTGTGTGATTTATTGCTCAAACAATTTATATCCAATGAATATACTATAAGTGAAAATTTTAATTAAATTATTTATTTTCAATAGTTATACAATAGTGTGATTTAAATTTAAATATTTTTTACTGAATGCAAAATTTAAAATGTGATTATTTATTGTAAAAATGGAGAGGATTAGACTTATATGTGATTTTTGGCTCTTTTACGCTCAAACACAACACATAATATTTGTAAACTTTACACCATTTTATACTTTTTGTCGAATTTTTGATAAACATATTTCATATGTTATATGAAAGTAGAATTTGGAAAAGTATTGCATTTGAAAAACGAGATTAAAAGAAAAGAAAATATTATGAATTGAGTTAATGTTTTCAATGCAATATTGTGTCAACGATAGAATTGTAAGCAAAATGCGGTGTTTATGCGTTACGTAAGCATTTAAGATGTGCAAAATGTACCAAGATGCACGTCGTGCTCCATATATACACATGTAAAGTATACTTGTATTATTCAAATACACCATTAATATTTTGGACACACAATCTAATGTTTACGGATAAGTTAACACAACACAAACTTTACAAAAGTTAATTATTTCTAACTCCTGTTCCAAAGTAATGTATACTATTCTCAAATAATAAAAATATTAAAATAAATTGTTCAAAATTTTTAGCAAGTTTTATGAAATTTTTAATTAACTATTTGTTAAATATTAAGACCTGGTGTGAAATCTTGTGTTTGGGTTTATATCTAGAATATGTTAATTAATTTTTCTCAAATTTATCATATGATTCACTCCAAATGAAAAGGCACCTAGCAATTCATAAACTGTTAGTATTTCCATAGACTTTATAGTAGCACATAGGATTAGCATTAAAATATACATAATTTGTCAAGTCATTAAAATAAAACTACATGTCCGATTTCAATAATTATTTTTTTATATTAAACATTGGTTTGTGATTGACAAATTATATATTGTAAGAATCACTCGCACTCTTATAGTTTAACCTGTAGCATAGTGCTTTTAGAAGGTCCCGATATTAAGTATATCACGTGATCAAACTCTATTAATAAAATACGAGCATACTAATATAATTATTGAAGTTTCTTTTACAATTTACAGATTTTAGCTAGTTCATTTAGTTTGGGAGATATTCAAAAAACGTTAGGAATAAATTTATAAGTTGCTAAGTGCCTTTTCATTTGGAGAGAATCATATGTTTTTCAATAAATAATATATTTATGCAAAAATCCAATTTACCATTTCGTATGCCATTTGCATAATTGCATTCTTATATATAAATTAGAAATTCCTTATAAAATATTTTGCGAAACTTATTTCGTTGACAAAGAATAGTCCGGAGAAATGCTCTCATATTACAAGTATAGGCACAATATTATCATCAATTCCTATATAAATTTTGACATAAAATTTTAAAATAAAAGATTAACTTTTAATAAAATATTTAAGCATTATTTCGAGAAAATCAATTATTTGATAGTAATTTTTATTTAAATTTGTTTTTACAAAATATTTGATTTTATTTCTCAAGTCCTTTATTTTCAAGAATAAATTCAGATTTTACTACACTTTTAATGATGTAAAATAAAATTAATAAAATATTACTTATTATAAATAAATAATATAGAGTCATGTACTGTACAGTAATTTATTATTGTTACAAAAATAAATTTAACTTTTATATTAAAAAGAATTCTCTCAAAACTCTTTAAAATTTTGATTAAATATTTAAACATATTTTGCGTTCAAAATTATTTTAATGTCATAACTGTTGCAAAGAATGTTTGACTAATTTTTTTTGTGTTATAATAATAAACAAGTTCTCAGAAATAATTAATAGTTGTTATAAACTTAATACAATATTTTGTAGATAATAATAATATTTTGTATAATACTATTAATACATAATGTGTATCATTATTATACATGTATAAGATTTGATTCTTTTGACAAACTTTAGAGTTTATAAAATTGTTTTATTTAAAATGTAGTTATTTTCGGATATAAGTAACTCTGTTTTTAGTTTCCATAATGTTTGTCACAAACTGCTACACAATAAAGTGGTCTTAGGATTAAACTTATAAACATAAAGGAGAGTGAGTTGTTTATCTCAACTATACTGTATATAACGTCAATTTACAGTACAATGAAATTTCTATCAGAAATAGTGCATTGATTTTTAGAAAATATTTTAATTCTGAATTCAATGACTTAATTATTTGGTTAAAAATTTTTATAATACAGTATAAATTATACAATACATTATGAGAATAATGAGATACCTAGCTACATATTAAAATTCTTGTTAATGGATCAAGTACATAGTGATAAAATATTTGATTAAATCTATTGATTTATATATTCTTATATTGTATGTAAAGTGTTGTGTGAATAATAAAACAAATAAAATTTTGCAAAATTTTATTCTAAATTAAATAAATTGAATAAATATTGAGTTTAACTTCAATTCAAAGCTCACTAATCATCCGATCGACGAATTCTAGTGTTTAATGAGTAAATTGTTTAATACAAAGACAATAAATTTTTTAGTAAAGAATTGATTTCTGTGTTTAAATAAATTGAAATATAATATATTCATACAATTCTTTGCATATCTCATTAATACAAATAAAACTTTTTTATTAAATGTTTGTTAAATCATTCATGTTTTGTAAGTCAGAATAATTTTAAATTAAATATTAAGAAAAATAGTTATTTTCAGTTCACTTTTATTAATTCATATCTTCCATAGAGTAGTTATTTGGCATGAAATTGGATTTTATTGAATAATTCTGTAATATTATATGATTTTACATTTCTTTTGTGATTTATTGTTTGTATATGTATTTAATTCATTGTATGAGGGAATGGATTCACTGACATGTAAAAGTAATTCATTGTATAAAACAGTGTACAGAATACACAGAATAAGCCGAATCGTTTTATCCCTATGTTATACAATGTTATACTCTACACGGTTTACACTAATATTATATAATATCTTATTTTTTCATTCAGTTATTGAGACGTGAAATAAATACAGAATATATTTTCATTCAAATTGAAAATAATAATTATATTTATATTTTTAATATATGTATCCTTTGATTATTAAGCGAAGTATAAAATACTGATCTATTCTCAACAGGTTTGTCATATCATTAGTAGTTATGTTTTTAATCGATGATCCAATTTATATACAAAACTCTTATTTTTGAATAAATTTTTATTGGAAAAATTCAATTCTCAGAGAAATTCATGGGAATTAGAATTTCAAATGGAAAGCGAAAAACATATTGAGAATTGGATTCGTTTGAATAATTGTCACAAAAGCTTTCACCGACTTTCACATTAAATATCCACAATTCAATACAAATAGAGCTTATATTTCAAAAAATATCTAACGTTTACTTTGTTTAAATTAATACCAGTATTGAAATTCATGCAAATAATGTTTGTATTAAACGAAACGAATTGTTTCCTAAAAAGTGATTTTGATTTTAGCGAAATTTAAACAATAAGACAAACTAAACAATGAATGCAAACGAGTGTTTAAAACAGACATTTCTATGATTACAGATCAGAAGGGAGTGAAAGGGAGAGTACGAGTTGGCGGACGGGCTTTCCTATCGGTCAACACGCCTTTCAAGAGAATACTTACAAAAAGATCACTGCATGTGATGTCTGTCGAGAAATACTTAGAGGTAATTATTGGACACTTTATTGCCTTTTATTCAGACTCTAATAATCTCTCAAATATTTGCGTTGTCCTCATTTTGACGGACAGGACATTCACGTCAAGGCCTTAAATGCAAGTTATGTAAAATGAATGTGCATTCGGGCCATTGCCAGGAGAATGCACCCAAATGTCAGGTATGGCTCACATTATTTCATTTCATTTCACATTTTTAATTGCTTTCGTATTTCAGCCAAAGACTCGTTTATTAAGGAAACAAAAGTCTGCCTCAGAATTGGACACAAGACTAAACAACACCGACATTGAAGACAGAGGTATTGTTCATATATTTCTATTAATATGTAATGGCATTTAAGACACTTATAATTGGAAAATACAGCAATAATTTTAAACATTAATTAACTTAATATAAGATGAATTGCTTTTATGAAATTAAATCTTAAAATTAATTTTTAAAATTAATTTGCTTTAATAATAAGTATCTAATTTATAAATTAGATATATTGCGTGTAATTAGGTCTTATAAGTTGTAGCTTTATACAGTATGTATTTATTTAAATTCTGTTATTTTATTCTTTACACAAATGTTACTACAATATAATTATATGATATACAGTATATAAACACTTATATTTTACTCAAGATTTTTATAGTAATAATAATAATATATTAAATCAATTTATCAATAAATTATTTATAGCAATATTACGATACGAATTGAATTAAATGAAAAACAAAATATATTACATAATTAATGGTAAAACAATTATCAAACAATATATCGTACAATATTTCATTGAAAGACATTTTCAATACAGAATATTTTGTATATAAGAAAAATACAATTATTGAATATCCGGCAAAATGTCAAAACATGTGAAAACTTTAATCATTTACTATATTTTGTCCAAAAATATTAATATTTTATTAATACTTCTCGCGAATAATATATGAATTTATATACTAATGAATAATTTGAGTGATTTATTGCATCGCCTGTTGAATGACATTAAACACAAAATGTTATTTCTGTTTGATATGAAATATTTAAGAAACACTAATTTAATTAATTTGTATATCAAATGAAAAGACATGAAATATGACATCAGAATTGATTGCTTCTAAATATAAGAAGAATGTTTACAATACAAGAATTGCAACCATTTCTTCATTCAATATCAAGAATTGATTATAACTTATTATATGAATGAATTTATGAATGAAGTTATGAATGAAAGCATATTTATATAAACATATTTTGTAATTATTTAAAATAAAAAAATTCTATAGAAAAAGTTACTATAATATATTGCTCAACACTATGTATTTAAGTTAATTAACTATTTAAATATTGAATTTTGCTTATATTTAATTAATTCTACGATAGCTTTATTTGGATATAATTATGAATTATTGACAAACGAAATGAATTAATAAGTTATGCTTTCAATCAATACGATTGTTGATCAGTATATAGAGAAAGAGCGAAATCATTGTAATTGTCGTTCATTTCAAGTCTAATAGAAATCGTGCACTTTTTTGGTTGATTTTCTTTCAGATTAATGGATACTTAAGTTTGGTATCATTAGAGCCGTTGCTTTACTGCAAGAGTCAGTGTAGAAAACATTACATTTTTATTGCTTTCATTTCTAAATCTTATGTTTTATATGTTTTCAAATTCATTAAACAAAAGGAGAAATATAAACGAATAAAAGATATTATTTTCCATTGATTATAATAATTTAGTTTAACAACTGTTTTACACGCTATCCTTTAATCGGTGTCCAACTCGTTATGCATTTATAATTCATTGCATAGTTTTTGCCATCAGTTAAATAGATTAGCGATCGATTCAAACATACAGTGTATTCATTGTTTGATGTGTGGACCCAATTGGAGGTCATAAATGCTCTCACTTTTCAATTTATTATACATATAACGTAACTATTTTTTCATTATTATGGCTCAGAATCACAATAATAATTGCTTTTTGAATATTAAGTATTCATATGTATAATGAATATGTGAAAAGATAAGGGGATTTATACCTTATTTCACTGTTGAACAATATTTTATATTTCAAATACATTACATCCAGAATATAAAGTAATATTTTATTGTATGAAAAATTAATCGTTATGCTTTACCTTTAATTAACTTTAATTATTAGCATTTTTAACTATAAATTATTTAACAAATTAAGTTAATAAAAAAATATTCATTAAAAACCCACATCTATTTTATATAAATAATAATTTGTTAATTAATATTTCCTTTACTTAAATATATTTTTTCTTTTTTCTTTAATCAATTAATATTATGATGAAAATCACATGTAATTTACATACAAAATATTACTAACAAATGCGTGACACATGTAATGAAAATTATTAAGTTAATGATCCAATGATTCAATAATATTAATACTTTTAACTCCTATAATGGACTCATTTTCTTGAAATTAAAGATATTTTATCGACATTTGATTTTTGATTTTTGAATCTATATTTAATGTTTAATATTACTGTCGTTTGAATACATCGAGAATTTCCTTATATTTTGTAATACTGTTTTAACAATTTATTATTTATAATTATTTTGGTTTTTAAATTTAAAAGTACTTTATTTTTAATTATTTTTGCTTTTTTGGTGATTAATAACTACTTTATATTTTAAATTTTAAATGATTAAAATATATGTATAATTCTCAAGAGTTTCATTCATTATGTGATTGTCATTATTTTTGCTAAAATGTGTGTCAATTAATTATTTAAATATATTGCAACTCTACATCGTCTCTGATCTCCAGCACTCATCCCATTTATTCACTCTCTCATCCATTTAAATAATTACATTAATGTTTTCGTCGTTGCCTTTTATTTAATATTAAATTCTAATTAATTGTGCCCTTAATTGCTTAGTTATTGTAAATAAATAACTTTTTAATAAATAAATAATTTACAATCTCAAGTCTAATGACAAAATAAAATAACTTATTATTTCAAACATGTCTTTTAGAGCAAATGGTTGAGCAAACCGTTGAGCCCATGTATCCGACTGTAAGAACGGCATCAGAGCCTCGACTTAAGCCAACGCTTGAGTTCTCATTAGAGTCCGCGTCCGCAGAGAATCCGCCCGACATTACGACCCGAAGACCGATCCCTCCCGTCATTACTCACGAGAAGAGTTCTACCCCTCACAGCAGATCCCGATCTAACGCCTCCTCATCCGGATCTTCGCCATCGTATTTGTTGGCCGTAAAGACACCCCTTCACGCCTATTCAGGTATGAAGTCATCACATTATTTCTCACATATTTTAGTTATTCTTCTACATAGATATACAATGCTTTCAACAATTTTACTTATTTATTACATACAAACTATTTTGAATGTTTTGCTCAGTTTGTGCTTTGCTTTCAATTTTTAATATAGTACAGTATACTGTAAATAATAATTTATGCTTTTAAAATATTTGCTATATTGCAAAACCGTTAGATTTTTTCTTACTAGGTAATTATTATCAATTAATATAATAAAATTTAATTTATTGAATAAAGTATAACATAAAAACATTATAATAAATAATGTTAAATAAATTCAACATTTAAATTATACAAATTTATAAAACACAGAATATTAAGTTAAATGTGTAAAAATCTACTTTACTTTGCAAAATGTTTCAATGTTTGGTAGAATATAAAGTATCATAAAATAAATTAAAGGCTTTATTTGATTAGATTTGTTGCTGAATGTGATTGTAATCGAGAGGTTGTATAGTATTAACGCTTATTAGAGATATTTTCGACACAAATAGCGCTCAAAATCAGAAACAGAATAATTAGTTTTGATAACATTAAGGGATCGACACTTCGATTGATTAGATTTTTATATCTGTCTTACATTTTATAGGAGTGTTATGTCGTGTTGTGTTTCAGGATTAATACAGTATATGAAGTATACATTGAAACCATTGGTGTTATAATTCTGATACAATTATTGGATTAGTGAGAGCTGTAAAAACATAAGCAAAAGAAATTTGAAAAGTTATGTTTCGTCGACCGGAAGGAGTTGTATAAACTTATTACACAAACTAAAAGCCATTGCTATGAAATGCTTATAGGATTTGGTGTTTATTTTTAATTTCAAATTAACAACGAGTGAAATAGCAATGAGTCGAGTATTGTGTTGACACTAAATACACTTATATAACAGTTTTAGATCTAGTGCTAAATACAAGAATCTAATCCACTTCAAAGTGTCAGTCCCTTAAAGCATTTGGTAGTAATTTTTCAGTAGTTTTAATTTAAATCCTTTGTGTGAAATTTAATTGAAATGATAATACAATTGATAAGTAGTTTACTTGAATCGATATTTTCAATACTTGCAATAATTAGAAATTTAAATCACTTCAACGTTTTTTAAAAGATGTTGTAATTATAAAAGTTTCGCTTAACAGTAGTTTTATGCATGAATTGTATTTTGAATGAGCAATATTTTGCTACGGATTTTTGCATTGAATTTATTGATTATCACTAAGACTAGCAATTCTTGTGCATTAAATGATATACCAAATGAAATTGTGTCACAATCTGACAGTCCCTGGGGTTGAGAGACTCAAGTGATGGGTAAAGACATTGTTTGAAAGTTGGGGTTCAAGTAGTTTATAGTATGTTGTAGTGTAATAGTGCTCTCATCAATTAGATTGTCAAAAAATTGTTAGTTAAAGTATATACTGTACACTAAAAATACAGGTATACTATAAAGTAGTAACTAGTATACTAACTATAGTAATCTTAATGTTTAGTTACATAATATCTATCTATAGCATCTCTCATATTTCAAAAAATAATCTTATATTAAATTTTTTCTGTTCTATTTTTGTATTGACTCCAATGAGAAAAAGTTAAAAAGTATTATAACTCAATATATTAACAAATAATATTGGTAAATTGGTACATTTTTTACTCAGGAATAGATTGATCTCCTATAAATTTTATAGTATAAAATATCAATTGTAAACTGATTTTTGATATTTAATTTGAAATCAATATTGTTTAACCGTCTGATTATATGGTTAAATTGCCCAGGCCTTTTATATCGTGGTGAAGATAAACGACCAGTAATTTAATACATTTAACTTCCATGAGTGAGATGGCAGCATAAGCGAGAAAGCTATGCTATGACTAAAAGTTACATCTTTAGTATACATCACAAAAAATATCCCAACTTTTAACACAGTATTCTATGCTATGGTTTAGTGCTATGAGTGGACTGTATGTGTAGAGTGTATGTGTATTATGACATGCGTTGTAAACAGTGTGTTTTCTATTATCATTGATTGAATTGAAAATAAATTATGTGGTATTTATTTTTGACCCCATATTCCTATTTAAATAGAAATATGGGGTTATATTTAAACGTCATTTACTAACACCGGCGGCGGCCAATGTTGACCATACGTTTTGTAGACTTAAAGCATTGCATTGAATGATAAGAATTGAATAGAAATTATGGGTAAATTGTATGCAATTGTGTTTATCATTGATTTGAAATATCAATGAATGGCAAATGTGGTGAATTTTTTAAAATATATTTGTACTCGATTTTATGGACTTTGTCTTCAAATCCACACAATTTTTGAGTCTTATTATTAGTAAAACAAACTGTATTTATTTGTATTACTTCTTGTGTCTAATTAAAATATGTTATTATTAAGTAAAAGTTTTATTCAAATCATTTAAGAAGTTATACAAGTTTATAATCATTTAAAATACGTTTTATTTCTTATGAA